TGTCAGAAAACAGGCTCACTTCACTGGTAGAAAGAACAGAACTGCCTAACCTGATCTGGCCAAGACAGATGGATGACAAATTCTGGTACTGGGATGACATGCTTGAATAAAAACATCTGAAGCATCTCATGATTTATGTCCTGGCGAGGCAACACTCTAAAAAACACTGTTAACACTCCTCAAACTAAGCCTTCTTGGGACTGGATTGTTTGAATTTTGGTAGAGCCTGGGGTTCAAATTGCCAAATTGCTTTTGAAAAAGCACATTTGAAATATTTACACGTTGAGGAATACATTTAATGCACTCTTAACATACAGATCATGCTATCACTGTTAYTGGGATACTCTCAAGAGTGGTGTTTTGGGCCTGAAACTTTGCCAACTTCATTTTACCTTCTGGACATGCAGCCTGTGCTGTGGAAACTCCAGTATCCTTTATGAGTGTGTATGAGAGRAGAATCAATTCCTGTTTTGGTAAGAGATGGATAATAAGGACCAAGGTGCAGAAAAAGGGAGTCCCAGTGCAGAAAAAGGGTCTGTGTGACCCTTTTCCAAATGTCCCCTGAGACCTGTTCACAAATGGGATAGCAGTGGTGAGGATGGGGAATTCAGACAGATTGACCCAGAGATATTCTGTGATGTGGCAAAGGTCATAAGCTCAACTGAGACAAAGAATTAAAGATCACATCAACTGAAGYAGAAGTGGTGAAATGTATTCTGACCTCCTTTACTTTAAGCCTTAAGTAAGGCACTGGCAGATCATGGACTTGGTATTTATTTCACTATGCAATACAAACATTTTCCACCCTCAAACTGTACCAGTCAGAAACAAATGAAGCAACAGGTCAACAAAAAGAAAAGGTAAAGTAAAAAACAAAAGCACTCATGCCTGACAGTAAAGGCAATAAGGTTTAAACCCAAAATACTGTTAAGAAATAATAAGAATACTCAGAAAAGTAAGAAGAATAAAATCAAACAGAAAACAGGATTGAATAGCTAAGGATGATGTTGAAAAGGATACAATAGAACATGTCAATTCTTACATATGAAAGTAATCAATTTTTGTAATGGGCATGATCCAAGCAAAGCTTCCCAGGGTGCCAAGGCTACCTCTATCACAGTGTGCATTCAGGCACCAACTCAATATAATGTGACATTTATGACATTTATTAATGACAGAACCCTGGGAGACTTGTCAATACAAAGCACTGCAATACCATAAAAAAAAAAACCTGAATGGCCTTGAGGGTTCCAGCAATAAAACCAGATAAAATGCAACAGCAGAAATGCAAGGTCATGCACTTATGGACTGRTAATATTCCTGCCAGAAGATGGGAGTGACAGCTGGAAATAAAAGCATAAATAACAGGATACAGTCATTGATCACAAAGTGACTGAGAGGGCTTAGCCTGACCCTTCTAGGCAAGTAAGTACACAAAACCCTAGAAAGTTTCAAGAGCAATATTCTACAAAGATATTGTGAAATCTAAACTGGAGTTATGTACCCTTTGGCCAGACATGTACTAGAAAAATTCATTCAAGTAGGAACAGGCAGAGAACAGAAGCACTGCATTAGGCAGGGTCTGAGAGAGACACCCAGAAATAGTGCAGGACATTATCAGACTGATCTAACCACTGCTTATTCACACACACACACTGAAGATATACAGGAAGGAAATCTGGCTTTACTTAGACTAGAAAAATGAAGAGATGAAACATCTGCTGAAATGTAAAAATGAGCTATACCAAAAACACATAGAAAAAGACCTAGTTATGCTACATGACAGTGCTGACACGCACGAAAAACAAGCAGACTCAAAAAGAGCCCAAAACTCCCTCACCACAATAAAAATAAATAAATTTATTTAGCGAAAAAAAGCTTAAAAATAYGTTTCTTGCAGTTTGATTAACAAAGGTCTGGAATCGCAGTGTTACCAATGTTTTATTTTGGGGCTACACAAATGGTCTTTAGAAAAATGTGGTTAAAACATAAAGACTTTGTTAGTCTATTTAAAATCCCTCAAGACCAAAGAGATCTCTCAGCCTTACAGAATACACATATAAATCTCAAAAATCTACTTTATCTATTCTGAATGATGACTTGGAAGAGACTTAAGAAGTGAAGTTTTGATGTGTGGAGGCAAGGGTCACCTTTTTAACTTTGCCAACTTAAAAAGAGATTCAAACTGCCCCATAACATCCAGATGAATTCATAAACACAAAACACTTGTSTCCCAAAGATTTGTTTCCCTTTTGAAATATTTTAAACATGTATCTGAAGAGTGAAAAGGAAGAGAAAGTTACTYACAGCAGTTGACAGCCTGGATGCCAAGGTCATTTCCAAATTTCCTTTGAGACCAAGAAGTGCAGGAACCAAGATAAATACTTCAGTAACATTCTTGAACACATCCCAGTGCTATACAAAGGATACAATGAGAAACATTTAATAAAAAAAATTCACTTTAGACTCTCCACAAATATTGAAAAAATTCTGTAAATCATAACTTAACCCTCTAAGAAAAAAAATGGTTTTATATTAGACATAAAAGTCTGAAATCAGAACTGTTACCTACTTAGATAAAAAATATTTAGGACTGCATATTACTTCTTCAAAGATGAGAARACTATAAGCAAGAGATACAAAACTTGGACTTAAAACAATCAGTGAAAAAAAGATCTCATTAATTTAAAGTATTTGTTTTACATGACTTCAAAGTAGTACCAGATACTATGACTGCTCTTTAATTCTGCCCTTCATTTTCWATAGTATTTTTATCTCTTCCCTTCCAGCTGTACAGAGACCTCACATAAAACCAGCAAGGACTTAATTGTCATATGAACAGAGCCTGTAAGTAAAAAAAAAACATGTCTTTATTCTTTTACCTCTAAGTGTGAAATTCAAAAGTRCAGTTTTYTAAAACCCAGATTTTWAAAAARAAAAACTCTTTAATYTTTTGTGCACCATGTTTTCAGCACKGAAGTGCTGTGCTACTTTTTATGTCTTGTCAACCCAAACATTTAATTTGCAATCATTTACCAACTTCAACTAAACTAAAAACCTGCAAATTGCCCTTTTATTCAGGGATTTGCAATCATTTAAATTATTACTATAATTAAAATAAAAGGATTCAATTAAAGCATCTGTACAAAGAATGAATTGGGAAGATACACATGAGCAAAGCACCAGATGTGTATAAAACAGCCCAAGGAGCAGTAATGTTTGTATGCCCAATTTTATTTTCCTTTTTCTTGAGGTGATGAAGTGCCTTATCACTGCAACTGAKTGAAGTCCAAGTTTCCTTTACTGTCTCAAGACAAAGATTGGCACCTCTTGCTCCTATTTTAATTAACTTTGTAAACTTTGTAAGTGTAGCTACAGAAAATCCTAAAGCTGAAAGAAGCTAAACAAAACAAAAAGGGGGAAAAATCTGCACAGATTAATTTCTGTATTGCATTTCTGCTTAAATTTTGTGATTATTTCAAATCTTTTTAACGAGAAGTTCACAGGAGCAGAACCACACACAGGCTTAACTACATTTCAACATTGCAAATATCTACAATGTCACACTTTAGCACTACAGACCTCACCTGTCAAAACAAAGCCTTCCAGAGCAAATACCAACCTGTACAATATCCAAAACCATGCCAGCAGAAACAGTTCCAAACCCTGCCAGCAAAAAAGGCACGAGTATCTGTAGTGCCATAATACTACTGGATTCTTTGGGCTGTTTTCTACYTCCTTCCACGATGACATCTTCATTACTGTCACTCGACAGAGCGTCATCCTGCAGCATGGCATCTGTTTCTGAAGCCCCCATTCCATCACAATAGTCATAACTGGAAAAATCATCATATTTAGGGCTACAGCTAGAAGGGCTGTGTCCATTGCTACCATGAAAGYTTGCTTCTGAGAAGTGATGGTATTCCGTGTGCTGCTCGGATCTGACGTTAAAATTGTGTCCTGCTGGTTGCAACCCATCTTGCCAGACACCATTCACCTTTTTGTGCCTTTCCTCTTGGTTTATTTGGTAAACAACAGGAACCATGCTTAAAAGCAGGCTCAGAAATTTATCAGACTGAATTGTATTAAGATTTATGGTCCAGTTCACAAAGCCTTCTCTGTCATGGACTTTGCTATTTGTTTTGGAGATGGAAGATCTGCCTTTGCAGTTAGTCATAGTGCTACAGAAGTACAGGGTGAAAAGCACTTTATTCTTCAGATGGCAGCCAAGAAATCTTGCAGGTGAGTCATCAAGTGCCACGCTTACACGTGGACCAAAATGTTCCTTTTTTGCAAGCAAAAGGGTTTTTTCATTGCTCTCAGACCTTCAACAATTCCATAAGCAAGACTGGATCTGCAAAAAAAAGTAGAAAGTATATATTTAGTTTTAAAAATGTTTTAAGTACGGAATACACGAGGTGTTGGTTTAAATTTTCAGATCACAATCTTTTTTTCTGCTTACTGTGATCTAAGATGAAGCTGTTTCTACTTTAATATTTCCATCATGGTAGGAAATTAAACAACAATATCCTGACAGTCTCAAGTAATTTCACATTCCTCCATCAGAAGCCATTTTACGAGGTTTTTCTTTAATTTTCACGTTGTGATAATAACTGTGGTAATTTACTAAAGGAATAGTCTTTAATTTGACTTGAAGCTTTGCTGACTTGGGTATTTACTACTAGACTCCATAAATACAAGTAAATGATTGGCATAAACAGAGAAACAAAGGTCAGGGAGACTACACCTGTAGGATAACACAATTCCACAAGCTTTTGACTTTGTATCTATGCCAAACYGTGAAAACAAATTTTTACAGACTGCAAGAAATTAAAGTATTTGAGAGTTGGAGGACTTTCTATCTGCATTTCCTAAGAAAATCAGGCTCCTAAGACCACTCTTTTTGTGTTATGAGTTTATACTTTCCTTCCCTCTGTTTCAAGGCTTTTAAGTCATCCAGTATTTCCAGTATTTCCAATTTCAGACAGACTTTACAGTGAGTGGAGATGTCAAAGTTTTTAGCAACTATAGCCTTGTCAGAGATCCAAGTTTGTGCCTCTGCTGCAAGGCATCTTCAAACATCAGCTAGGATAACTCACTCCTACGTGGCCAGAGCRAGTCAAATTCAAAATTCCTGCTGCTCACAGAACTACATGATTTGGGTTTTTTGAGTGAAGACATGACTCAGAAGCAACATGATGATTTTCCCTCTACCATTTGCTTTATCCAAGGGAGCTCTGACCAAGAAATGAGTATTTTAAAAACAACAATGAAGCTCGCGGCTTGATTTAGAAAGAAGTCAAGTTTGGCAAGAAGCAATCTTTTTGCCACAAGACCAAGAGAGGAATTTAAGTAACCAAGATTCCTGCAGTATCTTTTGCTGCTCTGSAGCAGATCGTATAACATTGAACTTTTTCGTTTAATCAAAAACTCCTAGGTCTCAATTCTGGTTTCCATACACTTTAATTAGAAATAACAAAACAATTTCTGCTGCTATCCCGGAGGAGCTCTGACCGCAGGTCAAAATGCTGCTTTGCTAAGTGCTACAGAAGGATAGAAGAAAAAATTGAAGGATTTCAATTCGCTCAGAGGAAAATGCATTGAGAAAATTTTCTGACAGCTTTAACAAGGCAGAGTCTGGCTCTCATTGCAGTTTCTCCCACATGTCCTCCAGTTGCATCACCGGAGTGCTAGACCAGTGACTCATGGAAATTATTCATTGCTCTGGAACCCAGGCCAAAAATATTTGGGTTAATTATCCCTATTTTTTTAACATATGGATTGTCCTCCTGTAAAGTTTTTATACTTTTAAGAAACAAGTCCTTTGATAAGATTGTGATCTCATTTAATGAGGTTAATCATTAATTAAATGATCTCATTATTGATCATTAATTAAATGATCTCATTTAATACCTAAAGAAGGTATTAACAAATAGAAATGGTACTTGGTAGGGAGAATATGGGGAACAAAAAAGTTATTTGGTCAAGCTCCAAATGGAGGAAGAGGGTAGCATGAATGGCTAATAGTTGAAATAGGACAGAGCAGTTTGGATGACAGCCATTTATGCTTTTCCTACCACAAAGACTTAGAATGACAAAAAGTGAACTTAATGATAAATGCTGGAAAATGAGAAATTAAGACAATAAACTGAAAAATATAGAATCATAAATTGTTTRGGTTGGAAAGTATAGTACAGTATAACATACAGGGAGGAGAAWTTGCTCCTTCAGAGCAATGAAGCAAATGAGCAATGAAAAGCAAACTTTCCATTTCTAAAAACACGTTCTAACAAAAATAATTTTCTAAATGYCATCTGATAGAATATTTTCATCCTGAGTTACAGGATGTAATATTGCCGTATTTTCAGGTGCTCTTTTTGTACGTACAAGATGCAGCAAATCATCTAAGGATCAACAAGAACTTCCTGAAAAGCCTTAYAGTTGACAAGAAAAATGCCTACGCTGTTGTGTTGTCTGGAAAAGATATGGGAGCTAAAGAAGCAAGCTCTACTCGAATAATTCATACAAAGAAAAGGCAGTTAAAATCTAAAAAATCTTTTTCCCAATCTCTGTAGGAAGAGGAGTTGAGTGATTCTGGTTTCTTGACATATAATCTGGAGGTTGCAGAAAAAGATGAAGTACTGAAAAAAAAAAAAGGAGAGACAGACAAAGGTCTTTTGAGAAGTCAGGAAGCAGCCTTATGTAGCTGAAATATTATATTTGAAATGAAAGGGYACCTTGTCTTTGTTCCTACAGGCAAAATAATGAGCTATGCCCAAACTATGAAAATAATTCCCTCTTCCTTATTGTTTCCTAAGTACCTACTTCTAATAGTTTCTTCTTTTCCTTTACACATTTTATACCWCATAACAATTACTGTGTACTACCCACCTCTCTCTCTCAGTCCTGCAGGCATACACAAACAYAACAAACAGTTCTGTAAACATAAACAAATAGGAAATACAGCCATWCACTGAAGATGTCTCCCTGAAAAATGAGACACTTGTCAATCCAAGAGAGCAAGAAAGTTTTACCCAGAAGAGTTAATACAGAAGATGCACACAGCAATTTAGAAAATACACATGGAGACAGWATATACCATGTGGAAAATGGGCAGGCAGAAATAAACACTGCAGAAAACAGGACCACAAGCTGGGAGTGGCGCTGATTTTTGGAAATGTAAAGCTGCTTCAGAAAAATCTCAGATACTTCAGCTACGAAACTGAACCCGATCATCATCACATTTTTCCACCCTTCACCTTTGATTGGCTGAGATTGGCTGATTCATCKGAGAATGATGAAGATGAAGATGACAAAAAGAATGAAACTGTTCAGGAAGAAGTTCAAAGAACTGTTACCTAAAGAATTGCCAACATTGCTTCAGACACACCTCTAATGCAGTTCACAAAAGCACGGGAAAGAAAACGCTTCTTCTGTACTTTCTCTTGGTTTAAAGAACATCTGGTGTTGGCAGGATCAAGCRACCAGGCTCTACAGCTAAATTTGATCAGATAAAGATCAGACTGCCAACAATTCATTCAAAGCGTGAACACAATAAATCACCATCACCTYTTAAGACCCTTCAAAAAAAGGGGAAGGAGAAGGAAGAATCAAGCATGAAATTTCTGTAGAGTCAACATTATGACAGGCTAAAACAAATACTTACCAGAGTGTAGGTCTAGGGAAATTTTTGGTTTATTTCAGAGCTTGGCTTTGTTACAAAACCAAAAGATAACCCCTATCTAAACAATTCTGAAGGTTTTCACAGGATACAAAACTAACCACACCACAGTCAAAACCTGTTTTTTTCTAAAAGTTGCCAACATTTTTTTACAGGTGTCCTTTCAAAGCAATAATAACCCCTACACTGCGCTTGTAGGTAGTCAGCAATAAAATACAATTGTGTAAACATGCCTGTCTGAGAAATGCCTCTCAGGACAAGAACAAGCCTTGGAAAGGGATTCAGGAAAGTAATATGAAAYGCCAACGAAACACTGAACTTTAATATTTTGCCATAACAAGCAGAGATGAAGCTGGATTATTTATATCTGGCTTGAAAGACTCTTTTTGTGTTTTCAGAGATGAAGCCAGACTCTTCTCACTGAAACGATGAGAGGGAGCAGGCACAAATTGAAACACTGGAAATGGCATTTGAACATTAAGAAAAAGTTGTAGGGTTTTAYCATGACATGGCTGAACACTGGCTCAAACAGAGACTCCATCCTTGGTGATACCTGAAACCAAACTGGATATGGCCCCAAGCAACCTGTTCTTCTTGAACCTACACTGAGCAGAGGTGGCTGACTAGAAAAGTTCCTGAGATTCCTTCTGACCTCAATCCTGAGAGTCTGTAAAGCTAGAAATGTGAGGGTTTGGGGCCTTGTTTAAGTTCAGAATACAGGTGATAGTGGKATGTGCATGGCCTCTTCTCCACTCCAGTGTTGTGTATACATACACATGTCAGTAATACACTGACACCCTTATCTCAGCCTTGGCTAATCATTTATGYTGCTGTAGTGGACATTATCAGCAGAAAGGGAAAGCTACATCMCATCACCTCAGCATTACAGAGAGTAAACAGACTGAATTATCATKAACCATTCARCAGAGTCAGGAAACCAACGTGGTAYGCTGGGCTAAGATTAATTGTACCAGATATTGAGTGTTGARTGTTAAAGACTGCTGAAAATTAGTAAATGTTGCAGGCAAGGCAGGCATAGGAACATTACATCCAATTTTTAAGTATGGTGAATGGTTAACACTGTTTATTGCATGGCAGTTGGTGGTTAAATTACCAGCAAAATAAACAAATAACAAGGGAAAAAAAAACAAATTAAAGAACCACCAGATGCCTTCTTGACAGTGAGACACTGGAAGACCTACCAGCCTCAGGCTCAGTTTTGTTTTCAGACAAGTTTGAGACTGCTGCATGCTATTTCCTGAACAYGGCAGCTTTCAGTTTTGGCCCCAAGGAAGAGGAAAGCAGCTGTGAGAAAAAGGCTTGGTTTGACTCTGCCCTTTTAAGGCAACTCATTTAGAAAAGASCAAAACAGAGTCAGAAACACAGCAGCAAGGCAGTGAAATGTGGTTGGTTGTAAACTCACCCAAATGGAATACCAGCATGAAAAATACCAGGCAAATCACATCCTGCAGCCCATCAAAAGCAGGTAGGAAAGTACGAAATGTRAGAGATAATGCAGTCCTCTAGATTAAGTAACCAGTAAGTACTTAGCAGGATGAATCCTAACCACTCTTTGGGATCCTGATTAGAGATTTCTACTGTTATCACCACGGAGAGATGAATTACTTATTAATTCAGGCACTAGGATACAGACTTCACATTGTATTTTGTGGATAATATCATACAGGTATTTGAAAAGAAAATKATATGCCGGTATTTTTCCTTCTAAAGTGTCTACCAGTTACATTGCAGCATTTATGGATCCAGTTTCACAATCTCTTTAGGGCGATAGATGTAGGGAATGCTGCCAAAACAGGTCTTTAAACCTGCTCTCATCTTTTTACCCACGTTACTGAACTGGTAAAGTGAGGATAACTAGCATGTCTACTAAACATTGCTAGGACTCAACGATTAAACAATTATTTTATTTTATATGATCCAGTTATTGTAGTGTGTCTATAACCTAGGTTCAAATGTAAGTGAAGAAGACACCAACCATATCCTGGACATTGGGCTGAGGGAAGCAGGAATTACAATATYCATTGAAACTAAAGAAATAGTTACAACCTGAACTTCACTGAGAATTAACGAGAGTAGAAAGTAAAGTAGAATAAATCAAAAAAACTCCGAGGTTTTGGCAGGAAAGTACAGAAAGAGTACAGAAATTGAGTAYACGTCAATTACAATGCTTGTAACTAAAAAAGAGGTGATCAGGTAGAGGTTCCACACTTGTCTAGCACTGCATCTGCGGTGACAGAGTCTGGTATATTTTTATAGGTGCAAAGGTGGGAGCAGAACTGCCTGCACAYACACACACATCGGCAGAGAGTGCCAAGGAATAGGGGCTACTGGGAATGCTGAGCAGGTCTTGTGCACGCACGGAGAAAGCAAAGAAAAGGCTCATTGTCCCGGCTACCTGGAGCAGCGCATAATGACCCGCACATGATGAAACGCGCTGCGGGGCTCYSAGGAGCGCGGTACCGGGGCGGGGGCGGCACAATGGGAGCGCAGGACACCGGCAGAGCCCACCCGGCACCGGGAGCGGGAGAAGGGCGGCGGCAGTCCCGGGGCCCGCAGCACGGGGAGGGAGAGCCCCGCGGCCCCCGGGGAAGGAACGCCGGCCAGGCGATCCTGGGCACCCCGGCATGGGCGCGGCGCTCGGGGGCTCCGCTCGCCCCTCAGCCGGGAAACTTTCCCCCCGCGGCCCCCGCAGCCTCCCCCGCCCCGGAGCGGCAGATCCCCGGCCCGCCCGGCCCCGCTCGGCTCTCGGCGCTCCCCTCACCGCTCCCCGGGCCGCGCCCTCCCCTCACCTGGGCGAGAGCGGTGCCGGCRGCGCGGCGGGGTCGCGCTCCATCGYYGCGGCGGGGASGGAGCAGCCCGGCGGCGGTGACAGCTCCGCGCTGGGTGAGCGCCGCGCCACTGAGCAGGCGCGGAAGCGATGATGTGGCCCGTGATGCGCAGAGCCGCCAGCACCACCACCATCAGCACCGGCCGCCCCGAGCCGCCGCCGGGCGGGGGAGGAGCCGAGC